CACCTACTTCCATGTCATGCACCTAATAATTTCCGCTATTATTTCCTTGATATATAAATATATATATATATATATTTACCGTACTAACAGCCGAAGTAAACCAGCCTGGTATGGCAACCACAAAAGAGACATTGGAAGCTGGGTGACCCATTGACGAGCCGGACCCCTCGCAGCTGTGTGAAGCAGCGCCCAAATACCGACGAAACACGTGTCTGGGCCTTTAAGCTAGTACCTGGGCTGTTGGTACAGGGGGTACTACGTTACAGGGGATCGATAGGCTACTGAATTCGTTTGCATCCAATTCTAACCTCAACACAAGTATCGTCAAAGGGCCTGGCATTCCTGATTACCTTGCCCTTAATTAAAGTTTGTTTAAGTCCTTCATTCCGCAGATGGTCTTATAATCTCCTTTGTTCCCTGCTACGTCCGAAGCGATTTTGACCTGATGATGACTTTAACTGCCTGCTTTTATTTTTAGACCAACCTCTACACAATGATGGTACGGCCTGCCATTGTATTTCTACCGTCATCTCCCTGATGTCGGACTGACTGACGCCGCCGGCACCGTTTGCCCTCGTTATGTCTCCCTTGCTCTCGAACATAACGGACTACAGCCTGTCCGATGGAAGACCCGAGAATGGTGCGCAGTCAGCGGCATTAGCCAACCTCCTGAGCGCTGATCCAAAAGATTTTCACTTGCCCACCGAAATCCTGCTCTCCATGTACGGACATGAGTACTTCAGTTCCCACCGGATTCTGTGGGTACGAAACTGTCTCATGGTGCTATACTGCATCTTCTCCGCGTTCGGCGTCCTGATGAATGTCTGCGTGGTTTCTCTGCTGATGGCCTGGCATCAAAAGGCCCTGCGCAATATCACCAACACCTTCGTGCTGGCGCTAGCCAGCTCCGATATTGTCATGAGCGGCTTCAACATGCCGATGCAGACCTTCTACGAGCTGATGGAGACCGTCCAGTTCTCGGAAGTCAGCTGCCGCATCATCTTCTCCAGCTTCGGCCTACCCATGCACATCTCCTGCCTAGTCATACTTGTCATCGGTATTGATCGCTACTGGATCATTATCTATCCCCTAAGGCGACGAATGACACGGCTGACGGCAGCTGGGATGCTTCTGCTCATCGTGACAATCAGCCTGATCAGCGTCATCCCTATCGCTGTCTTCAGCACCTCCAGCCCTGCTGGCGCTCCCATGTCCGCCAACGGTACGCAGTATCGCTACTGTGTCGAGTACTGGCCTTCGCCCGAAGTTCGTCTTCTCTACAGCATCGTGACCTTCCTTGTGCAGTTTCTGCTGCCCCTGGTTCTGACTGCCATCCTCTATGGTCGCATCTACATGCGCCTGCATGAACGGCGATTTCGCAAACGTGACCTTGAACGCAAAAAACGCACCAATAAGATCCTAGTGGGTATTGTAGTCTGCTTTTTTGTCTGCTGGACACCCTGGACTGTCTTCTCACTGACGCTGGAGGTGCACACCTATTGGACGCAAAAAGACTTCCACAGTAACAACAACAACAATGGATCCCTCCAACAGGAAGTGCGGGAGGCACCCGCGGCCATCAACACTGCCCACCTACAGAAGCTGCTTCTCTCCTGTTTGCAAGGACTGCAGAAACAACAGCAAAATGGCGGAGTGGAGGCTGGAGCGGCAGCTGCTTGTCCAGACTACAACATCAGCGTCCTGGCCCCCGACTCCCTTCTGCTCTTCGGTCGGCATACAAAGCTGATTGACCTTTTACTCAAACTCCTAGCCATGTGCTCCAGCTGTCTAAACCCCTGTCTCTATGGTTGCATGACAGAGACCATGCGTATGATCATGAAGAAGACGGTGCGACGAATGCACAGTTTTCAAAATTGGATATCCAAGCTGCACGGCAGTTTGCCGTCTAGCAGTGCTAGCAAGCACGATCACCACCGTCAGAAGGTGGGTCTCTTCGA